TAGAGACTAGTTTTATCCGACGATTGGTAGATTCATTTTAAAGTTAACCCAATGTATTTAGTTTTTAAATTTTATTTATAATAAAAAATCTGTTGTCTTCGAGTAATCACATGAAATATATAAATAATTACCCTCCTAAAAGGTTACAGTCTAACAACTGAAACGTCAAGCGGCAAAAATCCTTGATAGATTAAATTAATTCAAAGGTATCGGTAATAATCAAGAACAAAATAAAATTTTACATAATATGTTCCTGGAAAATAATAAAAACAAATTATATTATCTGTGCCATAACCATACTCCTGGCTTAAAAGAGCTTGCACCCAGAGCCGTAAAACACTATACATATATTCATATAAAAAAAAACCCACTCCATCTTTGAAACTTGATCAAACAAATTTGACGAACGAACTTTTATCTAAGAACACTTTGCAGTTCTGGTGTTCGGGTTAAATTACACAATGTAAGTATTTTACTTGTATTAAATCGAAAAAATAATAAATATCGAGTATCTGCTTATGATTATTTGGATCAGTTATTACCTGTAATAACAATATTTTCTTCTTTTTCAGAAAATATGGGCGCATGCTGGTATGTACCTATTTTTAATGGTTTATTATTGCGTGGATTGTTAAGATAATTATAATGGTCAATTTGACAACTAACTAACACCATTACACCATGTTGCTCCTACTTGGATTTTGAATGGTTTTATCGAATGAATGTGGAATGTTTTCGTTGGTTTGGTTAATTCCTAACCTATTTGCATTGTGTGCTCATATCGACTGAATGTGCAGTGGAATATTTTACAACACGTCGTGGTTTGGCTCATTCCTAACCTATTTGCATTGTGTGCTCGCAATTAACAACTATGTTGCTTTATTTGTTTTTTTTTTTCGAGTGTATGTGTTTGATTTTTAGCTCCGGCGGTGGCTGGTGGAGCCGGTGGTGGTGGGGCTGGGACGGCGGAGTCCCTGGCTCAGCTGTGGGCGGAGGCGGCGGTGGCGTCGAGTGGTAAGTCAAATTTAATTTTCTTTTTAAATTATGATACTGACGATAATTATTTATTTATTTAAGTAGGTAGGTACCATAAACGAACAGTAATAGGTACCTACTGTGAAGTTATAATCAAGCAACTTTAACTTGTATAAAATAAATAATTGTGGTATGGCAGATAGGAGTTCCTGGCTCTAGAGTGAGATATATAATATACTTGTTCCCAGCTGCTGTGGGACAGTACTTACTATTATCTCAAGGCTACCCACTAATTATCGTTTTTATTTTGTCTTTTAGTGAGGCGAACGAGGAGACGCCGCTGCTGCCGGCTCCGCCGAGCCCGGGCCAGCAGCGGGCCCTACGCTTAAGGGCAGAGGAGCGGGGCCGGCGAGTGGAGGAGCGGGCCCGGACAGCCGCCCGCCTCCACAAGATGCGCCAGAGCGGGCGCGCGTTTCGGCCGCTCCACGAGCGCCCGCCCGAGCGCCGCCAGCTGAGCGACGCGGAGCTGCGGGAGCTGCAGGCGGCGTGGCGGCGCGCCGTTGAGTCGGCCGAACGCCGCCTTGCGGCGCAAATTAATAAATTTTAGGAGCTTTATACGAGTTGAAGTGTTTAAATGCAGTAATTAAACACTTCAACTCGTATAAAGCTCTTTGAAAAAAAAATAAATGAACTTTTTTAAAAATGTTTTTTTAATGGCTTTTAACTCCTTGCAGCTAGGTAGGTAGAGCCAGTACGAACAAACTAGACGAGTACCTACCTAGTTTTCAAGTTAATACAAGGTATGATTTGTAATTAAAATTTTTGACACC